AAGGGGATGTAACAAACTGAAATTCTTCATTATATTGTAAATAAATCCCCTTGGTTCACCCTTCCGGTAACTTGTTTAATAGCCCTGTGGGGAGCCCTTAATTCCTTTAGTTCCCATAGTAACATAGCAGCCCTGTGGGGAGCCCTTAATTCCTTTAGTTCCCATAGTAACATAGCAGCCCTGTGGGGAGCCCCTAGTTTTACTTTAAATAGTAAGGTTAAAGCGTGCTCTGGGTAGTACCCGGGAAAAACATCAGCCGATAGACGTGTTCGTCTAGTGCTACCAGGGGGCCTGTCCATAGAAAACCACATGGGTCTTATGCCTTATTTTCATGCCTAAAGTCTCTCTACAGAATGTTACAGAGTATGTAAACTGTCGGGTACTGAAATTCTTTATTTGAGAGTAGCCATTTCCATGTTATGGTGTGTGACAGAGACCGTAGCCTGTGAGTGAACTAAGGCGGCCCGTACGACACATCTCTAAACCAGTTCTGTGAGTTACTAGTATATCATCGGGCGGTGACCCTCGTTGAACATTTCATTATCTGAATTAAAGTCTTTATATGAACGAAACATTGTGAAAGATTGAGAATTATAACTATTGTGAATTTGGAAATAATTCTGAATATTTAGTTTCATTGAAAGACATTTCAAAGTGTTGAGCCTGGCGTCGGACCATTGTCTCTGGAACCCGAGAGGAACCCAGTGTGCCACGCAGCCCGTTATTAATTAACATTGTTCCGTGCAGCCATACAAAAAGGAAACTGTAAAAATCTATTCTTAAAGGATTTCCGCACTTACGGAAGGACCAGGACAAACGGGACCTATTCATACCAAGGGACATGCGCACTGACTGACTGAGGACCAGGACCAATTAACAAAGACATTTTCAATTTATTTTATTTTTGTACATTTTTTTTGTTGGTTAAATTGTTTGTTAAAATTTCTGTTTACTTTGTTCTTTAATTTTGTTATTAAATTTTGTTAAAATTTTAAAGTTCTTCTTTTGATTTTTGTAAGTTCATCAGGGTGTATAACCCACACCCTCACAAATGGTGGCAGCGGTGGGATACACCTGAGCTTGCATAAATCAAGAGTTTTTTTGTATTTCTGAAATTTTGATTTTGACTTTGTTTATTTTGTATGTTTCAGTTCAAACTTTCACAATGTCGCACATGCCAAAGTGGATGTCCGAGCTTATCGAGAAAGGGTCAAGCGTCACGGAGTGTTTAGAGATGTGGCGTCAGGAGCAGGAGGCAATGAGAGCTGAGAGAGATCAGGCTAGAGCTGAACGAGAGACAGTAAGAGCAGAAAAGGAAGCTGAACGAGAGCTTGAGAAAGTAAGGTTAGCTCATGAAAGAGAGGAGCGTCAGGCTAAGAGAGACAGGGATAAGTGGGAGGCTGAGAAAGAGATTAAGTTGAGAGAGTTAGCTCTTAAGGAGAAAGAGTTAGAGAAGAGTAAAACTGGTCCCTCCCCCCAGAGCATTCACACCCCTAGTGTAAAGTTACCTAAATTTGAAGAAGGTCAAGACCCTGACGTTTTTCTAAAATCTTTTGAGAAAATAGCGGGGTTACAAAAGTGGGATCAATCTCAATGGGCGGTTCGTTTAGTCCCAATGCTATCGGGTAAGGCTCTTGAAGCTTATTCTAGATTGTCAGATGAGGATAGCGATAATTACGATGCTATAAAAACTGCTATTCTTAAAAGGTATGAACTTACCTCAGAGGCCTATAGGGATAAGTTTAGGCAGTGTCGACAGTCCAATGATGAATCGTTCAAAGATTTTGTGGTTAGGACAGAGAGGTTCTTTAATCATTGGTGCGAAAGGGAAGAAATTGGTTCAAACTTTCATAAGCTGTTTGATTTGATGTTGAGAGAACAGGTGATAAGAAGTTGTTCAAAAGAGTTGCAACTGTGGGTACTTGAACACAGTCCAAAGTCTATAAAAGAAGTTATAACTTTGTCAGAGTCATTTCAGGTTGCGCATAAAGGCAGTAATTCAGGCGTTGGTCGTGGTAATGCAGGGGAAAAACCGGGTGCAAGACCAAATAAGTTTGGTTCGGTTCAGTCCCAGAAAGGTAAGTTTATCTCGCCTTCAGATCAGAGGAGATGTTTTAAGTGTGACAAGGTCGGGCATATTGCTCCGAATTGTCCATTGCGTAAAGTTCAGTCAAAATCTCCTCTGAATCAGAAACCAGGTAACCACAAGTCTAATGAACAGTTTGGTTTGTGTCTAGATGAGACAATGACAGTATCTGAGGATTCTGATAGTGTTCATGAGAATAAAGTGGTGGTTAAGTTGTCTGGTGTATCGATTACTGATGATTCTGCTTTAGAATTAAGTTGTGAAACAGGTTTAGATTTGGTGAGTGGAGAAGTCGGTGGACATGTTGTCTCAGTTTTAAGGGATACTGGTTGTTCAACGGTGTTTGTCAACAGTAAATTAGTTTCAGATGAGGATAAGACTGGGAAATCAAGGGTAATTACTCTAGCTGACGGTACGAGGAGATCTTGCAGTGAGGCAATCGTAAGTGTGAATACGCCATACATTTCAGGTAAGGTACACGCTCTATGTCTAGATTCTCCTTTTGCTGATGTTATTATTGGCAACAATGTGAGCATTGTAGTACCTAAGGAGGCAGACCCTTTACCCAGGATGGAGAAGGTGGACACAGTCGAAGATGACGCATGCGGAGCGGTCCAAACTAGATCAGAGCTAAGGAAACAAGAGAGGGCAGAAAAACCAAAACTGGATGATTTAAAAGCATCGAACACCGAGAACGAAGGTATGTGGTGTAACAGGGAGGAATTGATTGAGCATCAGAAAACTGATGAGAGCTTGAAGTCAATTCTAGATATGGCACAAAATGGTCCATATGAGGGTAAGTCATATTTCATCTTGAAAAACGATTTATTGTATAGAGTTTTTGAGAAGAATTCTGACGAAAAAGTCTTCCAGATTGTAGCTCCAAAGAAATTGCGCAATGGTATTATGTCATTAGCTCATGACACACCATTGGCTGGGCATCTTGGAAACAAGAAAACCAGAGAACGAATCCTGCAAAACTTCTTTTGGCCGGGTATGTATGTGGACATATCACGTTATTGTAAGTCATGCTCTATTTGTCAGAAGGGGATGCAGAAAGGGAGAACACCAAAAGCAAAACTGGTGCCAATTCCAAAGATAGACGTTCCATTTTCCAGAGTCGCCATCGACTTTGTGGGTCCATTACCAATGACAGAAAAGAAAAACAGATATATTTTGGTATGTATGGACTATGCTACTAGATTTCCGGAAGCATTTCCGATGAAAACTCAAGACGCAGAAAGTGTGGCAAATGCGCTTATGGAAATGTTCTCAAGAGTAGGCTTTCCTAAAGAAATTTTATCAGATCAGGGAACAAATTTCATGTCATCACTCATATCAAACCTGTGCAAAATGCTAAAAGTGCGTAAACTGTCAACTACCCCTTATCATCCTCAAGCTAACGGGCTAGTAGAACGATTTAATGGGACTCTTAAGCAAATGTTGAAAGCATATGCAGTTGTAGAGCCATTAAAATGGGATGTTCATTTACCATATGTACTCTTTGCCTACAGAGATGTCCCAAATGAAACGACAGGTTTTACTCCCTTCGAACTTCTTTATGCCAGACATGTCAGGGGTCCACTAGACATCTTAAAGGAGCAGTGGGAAGAACCAACCGAGGAACAAGCTTCAGTCCTAAGTTATCTCATTGAAACACGTGAACGAATGGAGACGGTACGTAAGTTGGTAACAGAAGTGGAATCCCAGGCAAAGAAGAAACAGAAGAGATATTATGACAAAAACGCCAGGAGCAGGAATTTTGAAGTAGGTCAGAAAGTTTTAGTGTTATTGCCAACAAGTACTTCGAAACTATTGGCGCAGTGGAAGGGTCCATATGAGGTGACAGAAAAGGTAAGTCCAGTTGATTTCAGAGTCAGGGTGTCCAAAAACAAAGAAACTGTTTATCACGTCAATATGCTGAAGGAATGGTTTGAGAGAGAGTCAGAGGAAAACAGTAAGTCTGAAATAATGGCATGCTTGAATGTTATTTCCAGTTTATCTAGCAATGATGTTCAGATAGAAGACGGTGTGGTATCGGATAAAGTCCCGGCCCTTCAGCAGACAGAATCGTCAGCCGACGTACTGTATTCAAAAGACCTCAACACAGAGCAAAGGGATCAGATTCAGAGGTTAGTGGAAGAATTTGGTGATATTTTTACAGATGTTCCCAAGAAAACGCCTTTGACGAAACACTCAGTGAAAACGTCTACAGATGTGCCCATCCATATGAAACCATACCCAATTCCATATGCCTTACAAGACCAAGTGAAGCGGGAGTTACAGCAAATGATGGATCTTGGTATCATTGAGGAAACAGACAGTCCATATTCAGCACCAGTCGTCCTCATTAAGAAGAGTGACAAATCATTGAGATTCTGCGTCGACTTCCGGGAGTTGAATAATGTAACTGTATTTGACCCAAGACCAATGCCTCGAATAGATGACATTTTGATTAAGATCAGTAAAGCAAAATTCATAAGCAAATTGGACTTGACAAAAGGTTATTGGCAAGTACCATTAGACGAGGATGCAAAACGGAAAAGTGCATTTGTAACTCCATTTGGACATTTTAGTTTTTCAGTAATGCCGTTCGGGATGGTGAATGCACCGGCCACTTTCGTTAGACTGGTAAGTAAAGTTCTTACAGGGCTGGAAGATTTCACAGAGGCTTTCATTGATGATATTGGTATCTATAGCGACAGCTGGACAGAACACCTGGAACATCTGAGAACAGTGTTTTCAGCGTTGAGGAAAGCGAACTTAGCAGCTCGACCTACAAAATGTGAGTTTGGTTTCAATGAACTTTGTTTTCTTGGTCATACTGTAGGAAGTGGAAAAATCAAGCCAATGATGTCAAAAGTAGAATCCATTCAGAACTTTCCCATTCCGACAACCAAGAAAAAGGTAAAGTCATTTTTAGGTATGATTGGGTTTTACCGGAAGTTCATTCCTAATTTTGCCACTTTAGCACTTCCGCTTACAGACCTGACGAGCAAGAAAACGCCTAGCAAAATCAAATGGACAAGCGAACTTGATCACTCTTTCCAAGAACTAAAAGGTAAGTTACTTTCAGAACCAGTTCTTCGAAGTCCAGATTTCAGTAGATCATTCATTTTGCGCACAGATGCAAGTGCATTCGGGGCAGGTGCGGTGTTAGAGCAAGAGTTTGAAGACGGTAAGCATCCAATTTGTTTTCTTAGCAAAAAGTTCAGTCCTGCGGAG